CACAAATCTCTTCCTTAGACACAAATACGCACACACACACTTTCACACTTTCACACGAAACAAGTGCCACCACAGCACATCACACATAACTCACAGGTACCGGTTTCTTTCCGCCTCCTGCAGGAATAGCGCCTCCGCCGCCAGATTTGCTCGAATCCCCAGTCTGACTAGCCCCGTGGCCGGTGTAACTGGTACCACCGGCTACGCTACGGCTCAGGCTTGTGTGACTCTTCTTGGAAATGTAGAGACCGGACTGGCGAAGAACGCAAAACCGGCGTGACCAGACGGCTTTCTCGCCCGGACGGCGAATGTAGAGGTGATCGCGCCATTCGGGAAACCCGATTTGGTCAAGATTTGACAGGAGGGCCTGAAAACGACATGAAAATGTGTCAGCTAAAACTTTGGTCCCTATAACCCCATTGAAAGGGGTTCACAATATTAATCAAAACTAGAAAATATCAACTTTATTTTCTATGAAAATAGTGATAAGTACTTTGTCCAGGTTAATTGGAAAATTTTTTGGCCTAATTTGGATTAAAGGCTACCAGTAATTCGTGAATAAGAGCTCATCTCGATATGGATGAGATGAAGTTTTGGGCGAAAAGGCTGAGTAAACTTCACTTTTATCCTGAGGCTTATTCTTCGCGATGTATGGGCAAACTCAACTATTCGAAGGTATGAAGACCAAGATGGTGTGGCCTTTTGTGTGTCGCAGTCTCCTTTTGTTGTTTTAAGAAGTTGTTTGACTTTGTTTTCGCAACATGGTCACATTGGTAGGAAGACTTAGAGGAGCGCACCTAGTCCGGAGTCCATTGTATGCATCATCATTTTGAGAGTAGGACCGTGGACGTGGTATATTCCCAGACGTTTCGCCGGCATCATAGTCGGCATCGTGAGTGAGTCTCGCCATTCGTAGCACCATATAACAACTCATCAAAAAGACAAGCACGGTAAAAAACTGTGACACGGAAGGCATGATAGGAGGATATAGGAAATGTGAATAGGCCAGGGCAAAAGGGGAGATACCACAATTGCTTAGCACACGTTTGATCAAAGGATGGGCTTCACTTGTCTCTTTGACGAGTTGTTGTGTGTGCTACAAATGGCGAGACTCACTGACGATGCCGACTACGATGCCGGCGAAACGTCTGGGAATGTACCACGTCCACGGTCCTACTCTTAAAATGATGATGCATACAATGGACTCCGGACAAGGTTCGTTCCTTTAAGTCTTCCTTCCAATATGACCGAGTTGCGAAAGCAACTATTATTTCCTAAATCAACGTGAACTACCGATGCTGACAAAGTTTTAATCGGCTTGTGGTGAAGTAAGGACTGACCTCACTTGGCAATGCCTCCCAAAAGGTTTTCTCATCCCGACTGGACTGGACTGGACTGCAGTTTCGAACTCGCCTCGCAATACCCCATCCACATTCTCAACGGGATTGACGATAAGGCGAAAATGTATCGTTCAATATAATCAACCGTACTACTTGTCTTCGGTATAAGTAGGCTTCGGAACTACCAGTGATTTTTGTATAGGAACTTAGTTCATTTCAATTCGGGTTAAAACCCTGTCAGTCCTTAACTCACCTACAGTTTGTATTCCCTATTTACTGATAACTTCAAAATATACTCATATTTGAAAATAGTAGCTTCGCCAATTGCAATGGCAAATTTCGGTAATTGAATTTATACCAGCAGTCTTGCTCAGAGTCTGCCAAACCTGCTCAGCAGCTAGGGCAGATTGCCGGTTTCTCTGTGCCATCGAGCCGGCCTGCCGAGCTGGTGACGAAGCTTAAATCTCAAAGAAGGATTATCTTTCCCTTCGTCCAGATGTGCTCTCATCAGAGACCCCAGGGACCTTTAAGATTGTTATCGATGAACTTCCTCGAAGCTCTTTGATGAGCTGATAACCAGTTCGTGTGAAAGTGTGCTTAAAAAACAGGTAGGTATAGGCCAAATTCATCGGAAAATGACACAAAATCTTCCTCGAATTTGCTGCACTTTGACTCTGCCGGGACGTTCAGGCTGACGCAATCATTCTCCAAGACGCCCACTCTCATTTGGTTTTCGTGCAAACGCGCCGAGCCCTCGTTTTTCACGCACTCTGAAGA